CTGCAAACTAATTGAAAACTGAAAAACCTGTATTTTTACGTCAGGGTAGAAGAGATAATGCATTCAGAAAAGGAAAATGTTGCGAGACACAAGATAGAGGGACAAGAAAAGGTTTGAATTTGAAATAACGAAATCGCACCGCATATGAACAGGAAGATTGTGTCATACAGAGACAGTCGATCTTATAAAGGAGATGCAAATAGGGGAGGCAGCTCATTACTAAAAGAGCAGGGGAAGAAAACATAGAATGTCAGGAAACATACGCAACGCAAGCGGTACCACAAATTTTGGAATGGAGTCACTTGAAGCAAGCGAGGACGCTTTGTCCTTTGAAGGGGAGAGTTATGTAAAGGACAGAATTTTGTTAAAGAAACTTTTGCTTGTTTGCTGTTTGAATTTCATTTGCGTGCTTGATTTTGTTCGCATCATTGGCCATATTTCCATGTACCAATCTGCTTTGTGATCAGCTCCTCTGTTCTGTTTTGTATAACTGTTCCCTAATTATCTATAATTGCTGTTGAGTAAAATATTCGTTGGCTTTGTGAGTAATTCAGTCGTTTAATTTAGTCGCTAAGGTTAGCACGTGATTTCAGAATGTTTCGGATAGCCGTTGTTATTTCAAGAAGTTTGAAGCATACCAGTTTTGCCGAAGTGACCCGTTTAGTCGTTGTTGAAATTAGATGAAAACTATAGGAACCGTCGAGGCCAAGAAATCAGAACACCTTATGAATTTTGTACTTTCTTTCTACTGCCGATATCTGCGAACACAAGCCCTGTAAACCTCGTGTAAACATCAGTGGTTTCAATGAGGTAGCACCCAGAGATAAGGTAGCACCAAGAAAATGTGGGTAGGACCCAGAGAGAATAAGAAAGAAGTCCCAGTGAGATTGGGTAGCACCTTGTACAGGTTGGTAACACGCAGAGACACAGGATCACCAAAGAGATATGTTTTAAAACCTAGAGCGGTTGGACTACTTCCTCATTGGGTGCTGGATACACCCATATAACCTGCGCTCAAACTCACTATCCTAATAAAAATAAGATGTGCTGGAATTCTTCCTCAAATTGGGCGTCGTTATATCGGCTAAATTTTGTAGAAAACCAACGAGGAAATCCATTCGTGCGATAAGCTTTTGGTGGATGAATAAACGGGCGACTGCGACAGTACTTGACAACATGTCCAACCATTTTACAGTAGTTGCAGACAGGACGACCGTCTGTTGCACGCAAATATAGCAAGTCATTTCTACGATTAAAATTCGACATATTTCTTCTAAAATACCAGCTTTCTTTTTTACCAATTTCTCCCGTCACGTCGTGGTCACCAATGTAAAACCACTGAGTTTACGAGGGTTTTACAGGCTTGTGTTCGCAGATTCGGCAGTAAAAGAAAGTACAAAATTCAATAAGCGTGTTCTGATTTCTTGGCTCGACGGTTCCTATAGTTTCATCTAATTCAACAACGACTAAACGGGTCACTTCGGCAAAACTGGTATGCTTCAAACTTCTTGAAATAACAACGGCTATCCGAACATCTGAAATCACGTCTAAACCTTAGCGACTAAATTAAACGACTGAATTACTCACAAAAGCCAACGAATATTTTACTCAACAGCAATTAAGATAATTAGGACAGTTATACAAAACAGAACAAAGGAGCTGATCACAAGACAGGATGTACATGGAAATAGGCCAAGATGCGAACAAAAGTCAAGCACGCAAATGAAATTCAAACAGCAAACAAGCAAAAGTTTCTTTAACAAAATTCTGTCCTTTTACATACCCTTAATATGTGTGGGTGCTACACATCTCACTGGGCTCTTTCTTATTCTCTCTGGGTGCTGGCCATATTTCTCGGTGCTACCCACATTTCTTGGTGCTACCCTTATCTCTGGGTGCTACCCTTAATATGTGTGGGTGCTACCCATCTCACTGGGTTCTTTCTTATTCTCTCTGGGTGCTACCCACATTTCTTGGTGCTACCCTTATCTCTGGGTGCTACCCTTAATATGTGTGGGTGCTACCCATCTCACTGGGTTCTTTCTTATTCTCTCTGGGTGCTGGCCATATTTCTCGGTGCTACCCACATTTCTTGGTGCTACCCTTATCTCTGGGTGCTACCCTTAATATGTGTGGGTGCTACCCATGTCCTTGGGATTTTCCCTATTCTCTGTGGGTGCTATCTTTCTCTCTTTAGGTGTTACATACATCACTGGTTGCTATCCATAGGATGCTACCTATCTCACTGGATGCTTCTCCACTTTCTGGGTGCTACCTTTCTCTCTTGGTGCTACCCCACCTCTCTGGGTGCTTTCCCCTTCTCTGGGCCTTTCCTGTCCTCTCAAATCTCGCGTACTTCGCTTTTGCTTGCTGTAAGATTTGCCCTGGGTTCCAGAGCGTCAGTGTCAAGGAAATAGGGGGTCCTCGACGCCCTATTTCATCGACACTGACGCTCTGGAACCCAGGGTAGTACAGATTATTCGAGTCTTAGTCGAATAGAAGAAAACCTCCTTCCCTCCACTATCTTGCCACTTTAACCAAATCTTTGTAATTCAATGTTTTGATAACCACATGAATTACATTAATCCAGCCCTTCAAAAACATTGTACTCATACCAGCAACATCTGTATGGTTTCATTTACTCATTTGTCACGTGTTTGCAGGTGATTCAACCAGAGTTTTGTCTACGACATTAACGGAGCTAACAAAATTCCGCCCGGGCTTAGTTTAGCGGTTAACTTGCAAGCAGATACAGTGGTGGCGCCAGGGGAGGGCTAGGGGGGCTACAACCCCTCCGTCGGAAGCATCTAGCCCCCCCCACCCATCGCAGGAAATTTTAGCTTATTGTCGGAGCAAATTTGACAAAATAACGTACGAAAACTGCTTATTTTAGTCATTTTAGCCCCCTGTCGGAAGCTCCAGCTCCTCTGTCGGAAGATTTCTGGCGCCACCTCTGAGCAGATACCAAGCAAGCCCTCTTTCTCTCAATTAAGCCCCCACTCTCTCTATTAACCCCCTCTTTCTATTAAGCCCCCTCTCTCTCCATTAAGCCCCCTCTCTCTATTAAGCCCTCTTTCTCTCAATTAAGCCCCCTCTCTCTATTAACCCCCCTCTCTCTATTAAGCCCCCTCTCTCTCCATTAAACCCCCTCTCTCTATTAAGCACCCTCTCTCTCTATTAAGCCCCCTCTTTCTCTATTAAGCCCCCACTCTCTCTATTAAGCCCCTTCTCTCTATTGAGCCCCCGCTCTTTATTAAGCCCCCTCTCTCTATTAACCCCCCTCTCTCTATTAAGCCCCCTCTCTCTCCATTAAACCCCCTCTCTCTATTAAGCACCCTCTCTCTCTATTAAGCCCCCTCTGTGAAATAAAGTAAAATTATGGCATGGAAATACTTGCATCTGCAGATTGTGCAAAGTTATCATTAAAGATCTAGGGTTTTTGTAGGTTTCGTATGGACATTGTAGATAAAGTAGGTTTTAAATTATTTTGTTGGCGTTAATTAGCTTATTAGCTATATGTATTTTTCTGCTCTTTCTTGCCAACGTTAAAGAAATTGTTAGTAATAATAATAATAATAATAAAAGCCCCTCTCTATTAAGTTCCTCCTTATCAAGCAAAAACTTAAAATAAACCCCCACTCTCTAGTAAGCCCCACCTCTTTAGCCTTTGTTGTCAAACAAGAAAAGCATAGAAAAACATGCGCATTTGGTGGGTCTTTTAACGGGTGTGATGATAATAAAATCGTGTGCATTACATACGGCCCATGTAAAGACTTACTTGTGCGCCTAAAAAGTCAGTCGAAGTTTGTTTACAAGATGTCCCAGGGTTATCAATTGATCCTGGTGATTCTGATAAAAATCACACATTACACTCTTTTTTATAAGAACCAGTAAATTCAAGTTCAGGCTGACTTTTTCCCTCTTAGGAGGTGTTCAGGCCTTATTTGCCAACAAAGTGAGTGAGACAGCCTTGACTTGCTGACAAATTTGAATATTCACCGAAAAAGCACCCACACATCGTTAAAAATCCTCGATTTTGAGAAAGAACATTGTTCAAAACTGCATTTTACAGAAGCTCAGCCTCAACTTGTTCTTAATTTCGAATCTCTGAATTTTATCAAGGGTTGGCTGATAATCGAGAGACAGATGGTTTATCAAAGGTTCCTTTTGCCCAAGGCAAATAGATTTGTGTTGTGTTTTGAAAATAAAAAATAGATTGCATTGTTTTCGGCAGCTGTAATAAGTAAAAAATTTGGCATAAAGTTAGGAGATTCCCATTAAAGTAGGGGGAGTGCCAAGATAGAGCACTGATCCCGGGTGGGGGGGGGGGGGGTGGTGTAACTTCCACATATACTGGTACAGGATGCGCCATTCTGGGGAACAATATTTAAAAAATAATTTTGGTTATCAATTCTGGTAAAATCAAACATGGTGATAAATTTTAGAATTGACTTTAAGCTTGATCTTAAATTTTGGGTTTAACTTTTAAAAGAGGTAATGTGCTCTTATTTAATTGATTGTGTTGTTGGATATTTGCAAATTTGAATATATATTTCTATTCGAGCTAAATTTTGGAGTGGGGTATTTGGCACACCCTGTCCTCGGCCAATTGAAGTTACCCCCTCCCCCTTCCCATCAAATGTTCCTTGTTAGGGTCGTTCTCATAAAAGCTTCGAGACAGTTCAATCTTTATCACACTAACATTTAACGGAATATAATTATTATTACGCCGAGACGCAAAAGTACCTGTCCGTGCTGTGACTTCTTGTAATCTTTCCTTGCCTTTATTTACACATTACATATTCGTAATCTCTGACGCATGTCGCTGCAGATATCACACAAAATCACGTGACATACCCGTTACAACATGATTGGCTGAGAAAACCGCTCTAAACGTCATGCCAACACCCACTGGCTAGCCATTTTTGCAAAGCGACTGTGCAACACGGGTAGCAAAAGACGAACGGTAGCAGAAGAAACTATTCGTGTCGAAGTTTAAAAACGCATTAAAGATGACGGGCGAAATTCAGCGAGGCCACTCAATTGGCGCTTTGGTAATTGGTATCATGGAGTTGTTATTTGGTCTGATAATTGTCATTTGCAGTTTTGTGCTCGGTGGAAAAGTGAATGTTAGCGCTGCATTGACTCCTTATTGGGCTGGAATACCGGTGAGTCTCGCTTAATCGTCATATTTTAAATCCGCTGTACCGATTGCGTATTTTCACGCAACAACCGCTTCGTGTCTCCACCGTTGTGTTACTATAATGTATTTTAATACAGAATGTTATGATGCCAAGTCTTTTACTGTTATTTAGAAATATATTGTAACATAGCCCGCGTGAATTTTCTAGAAGGTCTCTTCGTGTTTGAACTTTTTAGACCTCTCAGGATCTATCTTGCTGATTCTTTTTAAACTTTGTATTCCAGAGAAAACACTGAAGAAAAAGTCATTTGAGCTTTTCGCATTTCATATCATTCAGCAAATCACAGCTGGGTTCGCACAACCACCCCCAGTTGCACGCCGCAATAACAAAATAATGCGTTCTCCCAGCGCTAATTTTTTCTTCAAATCCCGTTCGCGCATTTTTGCAGATTCAGATTAATCCGCGCTGTTGAAATATATACGGAGTTTCGTGTGAATCGCGCCAGGGTAGGAAGGAGATGCTAAGATATGTGACGCTAAGTGAAGTGGGCGTGCGACCAAGATTGTTTTCTCGAGTTTTAAAAGCAGATAGGTTATGAGAATCTTTGAAGAAAGAGAAGAGATACGCTGGATCCCGCTTATAGTCACGCCAAATGTTGCTGAAAAGCTGAGTTTGGCTGTACACGAAGCTTAAATTAACAGTCTTACATATTTTGGCTCAAGTTCCCAAGTCTTTCCTGCTCTTTGTTGCCTCTATTTTCAGAACCTCAGTTTAGAACTAGCGAGCAGGTCGTTACGGTTATTCACAGCACGTGGTCGTATTGCGGTGTTTCTTATTTGCTACATACCAAGAGGTGCCATGTGAAGAAACACAATAGATTTCGTGACAGTTGACAGAAATACGTTGTAAGCGGGTTTGATCGAGTTTCATCGCTTGCATACTGCCTGTGGCGGCATAGTGTCTGTGATCTAGGATATGCCATGAAGGGGGTACCTTTCAAAGAAATGTGTGAAATATTGTAACCCGTCTCCAGGATACAGCAAGTACCGGCGATGGCAGGATTCAACAGAGAATGGGCTATTCCATTTTTTCTCCATACAGGGGGGTGGAAGTAAGATTTCTGTTAATCATATATCCCCCGGAAAGTGAACTTGAAGATCATGACCATTCTGATTTTGATTCTTTCAACCCCCCGGAAAATTCATGTCATTCTTTGAAACGAATTTTCTTAACCCATTTGAGGAAACATCGTAAATCTTTTAATATCCCTTGGAAAACTTCATATATTTTTTTCTTTCAACCCCCTGGAAAAAGCATACATTTGTCTGATACCCCCTGGAATATCCTTCATGCCAGACCCCCCTGGAATTTTAATTCCATCCCCATGTACAGATATCAAATGGAATAGCCCAATACAACTTCTGATCTTTCAGATGATTTGTTATATAGATCTATACTGAGGCCTTTCACAAGCACCTACAGCATGACACGTACTACACTACGGACTCTCTATCACAGACTCTAAAACTACTTTTCTAAAGGGATATATATATGAGATAGCTAGGAAGAAGGGAGTGCACGCGGGGGCTGTGTCAGCAGTTTCATAAGATGCGAAATGATTACTTAGCAGAAATAATACCTAAAAGGGGCATGAGGTAATGCGTTTTACAAAGAATACCATTACCTCAGCAAATCTTGTGTAGGGTAAATGAAAAAACCCAAGGTGATGAACTAAACGCCAGGAAAGATTTCATTCCTTCTCAAAGTTGATTGAATAAATTGTGTCAAAAGGGGACATAAATTTCATGTTCCAGGCCCCCGTGATGATTCTGTTCAATGGCGGCGCCAGCCACTATGCTCTGGGGAGAGGGAGGGGGGCAAAACAAAAATTCTTAGGCCACACCCTTTTTAGCACCAGAAAACGCCCTTTTACTAACAAGGAAAGCCAATTATATCTGAAACGAAAGCCCATATCCAACTGTTTGCTATGTAAAGGCAGTTTGAAAATCATAGTACGTTGCCAAAATATTACCCCTCCCCCAACATTTTCTCATCGGATTTAGACGAAATACAAAATTGATCCTGCTGTGAACTGGGGGCGTGTCCCCCAGTCCCCCCTACCCCCCGTTGCGCCGCTACTGATTCTGTCCGGTGTATACACAGGTTCTTGTCGTGCTAAACAATTTCTACGGGGCATCGATTTTTGTTTAAATCGAAGATCAATACTTGATTTGATCTGTGATGCAGCCGCGCGTTCTATGCGTCAAGCTGCAAGCGGTTGTACGTGTCTCGTGCACTATCATATCATCAAATTTGAGAAACTCCCCTGCAACAACTGATGTTGTGGTAAAGCTAAATTGTCTACAACCAATGTGGTAAACAAGAATGAACGCAACAAAAGAAATGCGGATGTCACGAAAAGGATAATTCGCTGAAACGAAATGTTTTTCTTAGGAAAAAATCGCTGCGGTCCTTCAAGATCATACACCAACAAATTCGGTGACGAAAATTGCAGTGAATATCTTTTGGTGTGACTTTGGAGCAACGCGATTTTCGGTGTGATTTAAGTACATTTTGGAAATTATTGGGGGGGGGGGCTGAAGCTCCCCTGGCCCCCTGCCTCTGCGGTCCCTCCCCGTACTCCGCGTTCACTGTCTCTGATGATTCATTTACATGTTTGTTTTTCTTTATCAATTTGAGCGTGCAACGACAATAGGGAATTAAAACTTGTTTTGACAAATCCAAACAAAGTTTGTCGACTTTTCATTAACCGATCTGCTTTGTATTATTAAACGCAAATGTTTTGGGTTTATCGCGATCATATTAACGATTGCGGTAGAAACAGTTTAAATTCATATTTGTTTTTCTACTAGTAATCTTTGCAGGGATATTTTTATTATTATTGACGATAGCGGTAGAAACATCAGCGGGATTACGCGCAGATACATGCGGTGAATATCCGCACCGCGTGGACTGGTAACGCGGACGCAGAAACCTTCCTAGGCGTGTCTGGAATGTTTCACTCATCGAGGAAATGGCTCAAATTTAAGAAAACTGTCATTCTGGCGTTGCACCACAGGGAATTTTTTTCTCTTAACCTTTTCCGCATTGTTGAATGTTTAAACCTCCGGATTAAATTTAGCTTAAAATTGTGTTGTTGAGAATTAAGCAGCTGGCCTTCGATTTGGTATTTATGTAAACGTGTTGATTAATATTTGCTCAAAAGGCATCTAAGTGCAAATAGAGTAACAAGTGACCAGCTACAAAACGCGGAATATGGAATGTTTAGAATCTATATTATACTAGAAATAGCTCTTGCTAGTACTGCCCGCAAACAATTAGTTCCTTGATAATGATTGTTTTGAAAATTTAGGTCAGGATATTCGAAGAAGACACCATCTTGGGTTTTCACAATTTTATAAAAACAGCTGCTCTAGTTGATGCTAAACTATTCTTTTTATCAAGAATTTTTGGTGTTCAGTTTGCCTTTGATTCAAGTCCAACGCCCTTTTGAAAATCATGAAGTTTTTCTAGGGTTTGACATTTATTTTTCGTTTTCGTTGAGCAAAGACGTATGAAAATGGACACGTGTTAGAACGGGTACAGCTAAAATAGATTGCGATAGAGGATTCGTACAGCGATGTACAGGCGATAATCACGACAATCAAAACTTTTGCTCGTACGGTGTCGAGTTTTTGGGAGAAAGGTGTGGCATTCGACTGGTTTTGATTCCCAAAACTTCGAATCAAAACTTCCATCCATTGCGGAGAACCGAGCTGTGATGCAGCACCGTTTTCGTGCAAAAAAAACCGAAGGCCTTTAACAGAGTCTTGGCAGAGCAACGCTCCGAAGATAATTCCCTTCCGCACAAAGAGGTGGCGGTTAACGACCTCGACAAAGCCGATTGATTGACAATGAAATTGATTGACAGTTGTCATGGCAGCAGAAAAGTGACAAAATCTGCTGAAAAAGTGCTGACATTATGAACTGAAGCTTCCATATGCTACTTATACGCGGGGCAGACTATAAGCCCTTCACTCGCGCGCTATCGCGCGCGAGTTGCGGGCAATTATTGCTTGGATCCATAAACCTGGTCAACATTTTACTAAAGCTAAGCCCCCTCCCCCCAAAAAAAATGCGAGAGATTTCTGTTGTTACATTTTATACTTTTTAGCAGTTTTTGGCTCTAGCCCCCTCTCCCCAGAACGTCCCTCGTGGTCTTGGGCTTTTATAGCACCCACCTTCATCCGGGCCAGGCGGGGTAGCCCCCGGTATAGAAATGACATAGATCCCAAAAGACCAGATTTTTCTTTGGAAACGTATTATGATAATTTCTTTGCCGCACAATGATGATAATCAGGGACGGAACAACCGGGGGGGGGGGGGGTGTCGCATCTCTCACCCCCCCCAATATTTTTGTTTCCGCTGGTAAACTTTGCTTCGATTCGGAGAAAAACACTTTTTGGTAGTAACAAAATGTTCCAAAAATTACTTGATTTATCTTTTTATTTTGAAGTTAAAAATTGAATTTTTCACGTGGGCTTTTTCCTTTTTTTCCGGTCACTTGCAGGGTGTGGCACCAAAATCAAGTCATTACCTAGCACCTCCCCCGTCTTTGACGTCCCATCCCTGCTTATAAACTGCGCAGAATCGTTACTTACAATTAGATGACTTAGCAATTAGATGGTAACTCCGTCATATTAGATAAAACTCGACCATAAACCGATAGATATGGCTTTGCTTAAGTATCGTATTCATGGAATGTTAAAGTATATCAAAGGCTAATTTTCTTCGCATATTTCAGTGAATTCTATCTAGTTTGGCGGTTTTACAACGATCAGAAATATGTTTTAATTACATTTGCCGGGAAACGAGTTTTTTCCATTTCAATGAGTCCTGAATGTTGTTTATCGCACTTTCGAATGGTGCTCTTGCGTTAAGTTTGGGCGTGATCGTTGGTCGTCGACTCTGGGCGTGATAGTTGGGCGTGTCCGATAATGTAGCCAGACTGGCTGGAGTGGCTTTGGGTGGTTTGCGGCGAGGGAGGGTTAAGCCCCCCCCCCCACCCCTCATTGTTTGTGCAAGGATACAGCCAAGAATCATATTACGCAAGAAAGCTCTGAGAAATTGTTACTGCACCAAAGGTCAGTCATTGACGACTGAACCAGAAGAGGAAAAATACGCACGAAAAAGCACGAAAAAACCGCTACTGTGTAGACAAAAGGAGTTCGTTTTCACCTTAGGACTCCACTGGTAACATTCTAATAGGCAAGCGGCACTGATTGGTCAACCTTTACAGTCATGTGCTCGTGTTTCTGATTGGCCTATTTCGATCCACAACTGGGTATATATATTTCCTAGCGTAGAATTTTTTGATCTATGTTCTGACGTTTTAAACTCTGAAGAGTGTCAGACGAAAAGCTTTAGTTTACTAAATGTTTGCTTTTTTCAAAGCCATTTACAAGTTTTGTACCACCAAAAGATTGTTTAAAAGGTAAAGTGAAACAACTGACAGATTTAAAGCCATTGCATGCTTTATATGCATGAAAATGTACACAAAGTTTGACATATACAGATAGAAAATTCTTGAAATGATTTCTTACTGAATACATTCAGTTGCAGTTTTATATAGACAGTTGGTTTTTTTGTTGCATTTAGAAATGCCTGATTCAACAACAGGTTGCTTTTATTCGACCCTATCGTGTCTAGTTTTAATATCTCATGCATTCTTTTCCATAAGAACAATACAAATTTTTTCAACAGTGGAATGCTTTTATTTTTTGGATAATTTTAGGCTCTGTTGTTCTCAAAGTTGTATTTATTTCAAAATTGATTTTTCTTTATCTGCAAAACTATGAATACTTTCCAGGTCCACTGAATAAAAGTTCTGCATGATATTTTTTGGAGCATTGTTCATTAGCTGATAAAATCGCCACTGTTTTGTAAACACGAGAGGAAATGTTTCAATTCAAAATCCAACCAATGGATCATCATTATTAAAAAGAAAGTTCTTCCTTATCGATGCCATAAATATTTTAGATGCATTTCTTTCCATTCATAGAAATTCATCTCTCAAAATTTTTCTCGCCACCAACCATCGTGGTAAATTTTACTGAACCCCTGAGCAATATAAATATTTTGCCTCCTCACTTGCAACAAAGTATTCTCCCGCCCTACTCTTCCCACACAGAGGCGGATCCAGAGTGAGTTCCTTGATGCACAGAACTCAGTCAGTTTTCCAACATACAGCTAAAAATAGTGTTGCCTGAAACAAGTAATATTTAAATTAAAAACTTGAAACCTAAAAAGTTTTATCACAGTCTCTTCAAAATCTTAAAATTGCCCGTTTCTTCTCTGTCGTGTTTGGAAACGATTTTCCAGACGCTGTGGAGGACAACAGCAGTCTAGAACTTGGAAATAAACTTTTTATGCCTCGGAAGTGAATGAATTGAACCAATAAACTTTTTGTTTGGAACACGGATGGAACTCAGTCAAAACAGCATCTGGAACTCGGAAATGAAACCATATTTGTAAGAAAGCTGTTTTTTGTTTTTTGTTTTTTTTGTATTTTGTTTCTACCTAACATCCGAAGGTAGTTTTTAGGACACTGTACACTGAACAATGGCCCGTAGTTGATTGGCTACCTATAGTTTCTGTTCTATTGTGGAACTGCAAAACATTCGATTCGAAATGGCGACTGCAGATGTCTCATAGTGATTTCATGTGCAGATACTCATAGTGATTTCCACCATGAAATTTGCACATAGTACGCTCTTTTTTTTATAAGAACCAGTAAATTTAAGTTCAGGCTGACTGTTCTTAATTTTTTCGAAAATGTGAGGCTGGATTGTTCTTAACTTTTTCTTAAATTAAGAGGGTGTAAGCAGTGCGATTGCTAACTTTTTTGCTCTTAAGGGGTGTTCAGGCCTTATTTGCCAACAAAGTGAGTTAGGCAGCCTTAATTTGCTGACAAATTTGAATATTCACCGAAAAAGCACCCACACATCGCTAAAAATCCTCGATTTTGAGAAAAAACGTTGTTCACAAATTGCATTTTGCAGTAGCTCAGCCTCAGCTTGTTCTTAATTTGTTCTTAACTTCTGACCAGTTTTGAGGCTCGTGTTCTTATAAAAATGTTCTTATAAAAAAAAGAGTGTACATTGAAATTGTGTATCAGTGTCGCGAGATTCTTAACTGTAGCTGGAAAACAAGATGAATACAGAAAGAAGACTAGAAAGACGTTTTATATTTGAAAAGTGGAAATTCAATCAAGAAGGACAACGAAAAAATTACACAATGAAACACGCAAAGGCTACCTTCGAAACACACTATTCATGTGATTTTTTATCGAGGGGCAATTCACTCTTGCAAATAGCGTACGAGATTAAAAGAAAAGGATTTCTGAGGATTTTCAGATAAAATAATAGGATTTCCACCAAAGGTGTACGAGATTTTCTTGGAGTGATTTGCCCCTCGATTCCCATCAAACTCAAAATGAATGAACTGTCTTCCTAATTCTTGATTGTTAGCAGCTATAAAAATACTCATAAAATGAAAAGTTGCTTAGAGATTCTGTCCTAATACTAAAAGCTCTTCAACTTTGTCCTCCTTCTACACATGGGTTCCTTATAAAAATGCTTGTAACTGTATCATTTCATGCCCCGACGAAAAATATCCAGTGCTAAGCCCACTGTTTAAATGCTATTAGTTTGGCATTGATAGAGCTTTTACGGTAAGTGTGAGATTTCCGGAAAAGCATACCATGCCGAAAGATTTGGGTCTTAATGAGAAGAAAACCGCAGCTATGCGAAGAACCGCAGCTATGCGAAGAGCCGCAGCAAGGCCAGTATGCGTGGGCCCTTATTTGTCTGACTGATGCATAATTATAAAAGACTCTGCCTATAAAGATCTTTGTATAAAACTTTGCATGAAATTCTGGCTAAATATTTGATTTTCTATTTGTTTGCTCTTATTACTGTGTACTTCATCATGGGCTCCGACGCAGGTGGAAAAGTGGGAGGGGGGGATGTAAAACTAAAACAGTGCTGATTTTTATGAGCAGAAAATATGATGTCAGCCATGAACTGACACATCATTTTGCGCGTGTTATCTGCCAAGTTACGCGCAAATGGGTTGAAATTTGGAGATATCTTAAAGACTCAAATGTGGTACAAAGTTTATTTCTTATTCGCTGGATAGTTTTCTTGGTAAAATGGAAATCCATGATATCAAAAAATCGTTATTACAAGAACCTTTTTTTGCAAAACTGTTTTCCTACTTTGTATTGATTCCGGCCTGTATTTGATGGATGTGTCTGACTTCTTAAAGACATTGAGTCATGGTAAATAGGCCTTCTCTACAGGGGGTCATTTGGTTTCGGCGTGATCGCTGCTTTTTCATGTGATATTTGCATCCGTTGTTGACAACTTGCTTTTGATGGAAATTGTCTTGTCAATCAGTACCATGTATTGTATTGTATTGTAGATTATTTAATGTTAGTTTTTACAATTGTGAATATACACTAATTAAGACTAACATGAAGCAATTTCAAGGATTGCATAAGAAAGTTCATTAACTGCAAAACGAGCACGCGCACTTGTTTTCAAATTCTCAAGTTGTCTAATATTTTGTGCTGTCTTCATTGATACCGGGAGTGAATTCCAGATTTTGGGCTCTTGAAAACTTTAGGCCCGATGTGAGTTAATGAGACCAGTTCCAGATCAACCAATAGCATCGCAGTCATGAAAACCATGACTCGGCTGATTTTGGCACTTAGGGTATACCCAATCCGTTTTATCATGACTCAATGCTTTTAACTGAAGCGAAAGGATGTGACACTTTTTTGGGGATTAGGAATAGGTCGATTTTCAGTTTTAGTTATAGATGGCGTATTTGAATGTTCATCCTGTGAATTTATATTTTGTTCTTACAGTATGTTGTTCCTGGCATTCTCGGAATTGTCGTTGGAGCAACAAAGAATAAATGTGCTGTAAGTAATTTTAATAAATATAATCTTTTTTGACAGACTTTATTAATTATGCTAATTTTGTCAATAAACTATGTTGATTATGCTAATTGTGGTAGTACAGCAAAAAGAAAATCATTATACTTTATATGTATACCGATATAGATTATGCTAATTTTGTTAATAAATTATACTGATTATGCTAATTGTGATAGTATAGCAAATATAAAACCATTATACTTTATTTGTCGATCGATATAAATTATGTTTTATTTGGTGATAAATTATGTTGATTATGCTAATTGTGATAGTACAGTAAATATAAAACCATTATACTTTATGTGTATGTCGATATAAATTATGCCAATCTTGTTAATAAATTATATTGATTATGCTAATTATGATCATGTTTCTCATTGCAGATGATTGCTTTCATGATCCTGAACATCATTTGCTTCATCATTAATGGAATTGCATCCATTTTGATTTTCGTTGCCATAGGGGTCTGGGCCGGGGTTGCCGCAGAAGTGACGTCAAATTGCAATTATTTATATGGTCACTGCGTTTGCAGATATAATGGGCAATCGTACAGTTACAAAGGTATGTATGTTCAATGCAACAATTTCCTCGATTGCACAGCTTTAAACCATTGCCAAAAGTACTTGGGACACCCAGCAATTTGCGTTGGGTTATTATAAATGTCACTTCTTTTCTCAGAAACTCCTATTTCCGCACCCCCTTCCCCCCTAAACAATGTTGATAATTTAGAAAAATATCACAGAAATCGCGTACATCCTAATCCCCTACGTCGTTCTGTAGGGGGGAAGGGGAATGGTTCAAAGGGGGGAAGGGGAATGGTTCAAAGGAGGAAGGGGAATGGTTCAAAGGGGGAAGCCCTTGGAAACTGACATTAGTGTACCAAGACTTTTGGCAAGGGTTGTAAATTTGAGCACTGAACAATATTCACTGATGTTTTCGGTGTTGTGAAAAGTACAGAATATCAAGTGGGCCAACGCAATATTTCTTTTGTTCTTGAGTTCCCAAATAATGCTCAATGATGTTGAGCAATATTTAGTAATGTTTAGATATCTTGTTTTTACCTCCCACTCAAAATCTCTCTTAACTGAAGATTCAAAACTCTTTCTGTCTACACAAGTCGGGATCATTTGTTTTGATGAAAAAAGATTTAAAACTCCGAGATGAAAAGACGATCTTGATGCTCAAAATTGTCCTCACTATACGGTTTGGAACACTCTGGATTTTTGCAAATATGTTATGGCTGTTCTCATTTCGGAGCCGTTTTTTGTCTAATGCTCGTTGGAGCATGCTGTTTTATTCTATCTATTTATACCCGGCTAGTGCGTCCTACATACCGAGCTTAACATAGGCACAAAAATTCAAAGATTAATAAGTACACAATCCCTTTGAATGGATGGGAGCAAGACCTTAATGCGATTGACCACACGAAGACCTTAGTACGACAGACCACTTCACAATAAAAGATAATATAAAACCACTTATAATTAAAGTTCACAATGAAATATTTCCAAATATGCTAAATTATTCAAAGATGTCTAAATCGGTTGAGAAATGGCTAATGAAAGATGTGAAGTTTGCTAACGAATCACTGTTATTTTGGCTCCGTTCATAAAGTTATGAACTGAGACTAAAATAAAAAAGTTTGATGAAGAAAGAGCCTATACACATCTGGACATATCTCAGCCAATTCGTAACACATTTGACTGATTTTGCATACTTAGAGGTATTTCATGATGCTCTTTCAGTTTATGGGATACAAATTCAATAATTCTAAAAATAGATTTTTGTGACGTCACCACTTTAGAACTGTATTGGTTATAGCCTTTTTCATCTGACTGTATGCTATGTTTCTTGCATTGTCCGGAAGACGAAACTATCAGTCCTTTGTTTAGAAACAAAACCGTCTTAAACCAATCAGTGTTGCAGGGTCATAGCACATGCGCAATAATCACCGTATTCGCACAGCTGTTCTGTCTGCGACCACACAATTCTTGAACTTCCCGCCAGGGCTTCAAGTGATAATGCGCATGTGCAATGACCCCGAAACGGGGGCTAGTGCATGTCTGGAAGACGGGCATGATTCAACTCCCGAACAATGCATTCCGTGCAAGATTCCATTTCTATGAATGAATGGAATATTGCACGTGACTTTGGACATCGTTTTCGAATAGCTCCGGTTTCGAATGACTCCGGTTTCGAATGACTCCGGTTTCGAACACAAAACTAAAACCGGATTCCTACGAAAGCGGCTTAATGGAAACAGCGCTTAAAAAGATTATACTTTCTTCTAGTGGACAGCTGCGATACTTTGACCGGCATTGTTGCATTGTTGTGGGCCATTGTTGTCTTTGCTCTCATTGCCGCCATCACCACCCTCGCAGGGTCAATCCTTGGTTGCATATCGTCATGTTGCTCACAGGTGAGTTCAATTCAACTCAATTCTAATCAATCCAATTCAAATAATAGTTGTCACATCTACACTCAGGCAATTTTCCAACAGTAGCAAATGCCTGAGAGGCTAGGGGGCGGTTACCCCCCCCCCAATACTTTAGAGGACAATGGTCTTTTGACCTAGAACAATGGGAAAATGTGACGTCATCTTATTAAAACAATAGACTTGCCCCCTATATTTGACTAAGTGTCCAGCCCTTGGTTTCAAGTGTCAAATTACCTTATCCTAAATGCCTAATTAGCCCCAATCTAGCCGTTCCTGATTGTTAATGTACCAAAATTTTGCCAAAGCTCCCTCTGCCCCTCTTTAGCAAAAACCTACGACTTATTTTATGTTCAACCGAAAATAAAATACCTTGCTGTAAATCTTCCATGTCTGAAAAATCTTACAGAGCTTTGTTGACTTTTGATCGATTTTTTGGTGTATTTTGCATCTTTATCCATACAGAGTTCCATTTCTGTATTATTACTTTCCAACCCCCTCCACCCCTTATTAACAAACCCTACTTTAGCATCCAACCCATGAGGATGGCGACAGTGTTCATTTAAGACAACAAAAGAAGCCATGTTTATCGATGGAAGCCATTTTGAAAATAAAACCGTCTGCATTTGCGTTGAATCTACATTTCTCCGATAACCGAACTGGTTCACCAATTTGTGATTATATATATCATCTCAGTGAGGCGGGCCAGCCCGTACCGTTTCATTAGTATTCAAATAGCATTTCAAATAAATTATTTGCTCTTATATTTGGGCAAGCAGAAAAAGCTGTACAGTTTCATAAGGAGGGCAAATAATTTCATTGCTCTAATATTTGGGCAAGCAGTAAAAGCTGTGCAGTTTCATAAGGAGGGCAAGCAAATCTATTGTTTTATATTTAGGGAAGCGAGGGAGGGCCACATTAAGAATTTTGGGACCCTGGGCATAGAATATTATGGGTTCCTTAGGTAAATATACATTCCTGATGATGAGTAATGGCTGCTATATGGGCCTGAACTAAAATATTTTTGTAAAAAGCTTTGATTTTGTTAATAGAAACCGTTCCGATTAAAGCTGGCCATACCACAAAAATTTGGGGCTCATCTGACGCTAGGGGCCCTGGGCACAGTGGTCGTTGTGCTCTGTGGTTGATGCAGCACTGAAGCGAGGCCATACAAAGAGTTGAAATTATTTCTGTGTTCATTTTGTTTTTTTACTTTCTTTTGCATTACAAAATGCTTATTTGCCTTATCAATGTAATGACGTCACGAATATTTTTTTTCAGAACCAGACCCCCGGCGTTGTGGTCATCCAGCAAGGCCAGATGCCCCCACCAAACTACAAGGCTTAAAAACTGTCATGGATTCTTGCATAACCGATATAGAATATAGTCAGTACATTGTCATATTCTACCATATAACCATGAACAACAATTATAGGTAATTTTCATAAAGTACACTATTATCAACCATACTTTTAACCTCGAGTATTTGCTGGTGACCGAGTTCTTTGGTCATGACGTCATAAAAACTTTTTAACAACATTTAAATGTATGCATCATGAAATATATACCTCTGAATGTGCGATACCAGTTTAATGAATCACAAATTGGTTGAGATATGACCCATTGAGCAGAGAGTTTCTTCCCCAATCAAGTAACAATAATTTGTTTCCGTGTGACGTTCTAAAGTGATGACGTCACAAAATTACATTTTGTAGAATTTTCGAAATTTTTTCCTATAACCTAAAAGAGCGTCGTGAAATGCATCTAAATCTGCAAAATGAGTTAAAGGTATTACGAATTGGCTGAGATATGACCAGATGAGCACAAGCTCTGGCCCCATCAAACCTCTGTAATTTGAACATAACATTATGAACAGAGCCAAAGTAACAGTAAAACTTTAGAAATCCTCAAATTTTTTCATTGGCCATAACTCATTCAATGTTTGACATGTTTAACTGATATCGCATATCGAGAGGTATTTCATGGCTTTCTTTTAAGCTATGTGGTTAAAATACGAAAATTCTTGTAATAGTTTCAAGTGACGTTACACTTACGAACTCTATTAGCCCAAAACAGTATTAGGCCATTAGCAAAACTCTGATCTAAAACTTGCTATATTCCAGCTAATTTCATACAAGTTCATCTTATTTTACGTTTTTAGAAGTTGTTTAAAGGTAATCTGTGGTATTTTTTCCCTTACATGGATCCATTAAAACCATGCCTCAAAGAAGTTGTAAAAGATTTTTGGTAAAGCATGTAAGTTA